CGTGAGTGTCACCCCGCCCCACTGAGGACTGTACACCTCCACCCCCACCAGGATGAGTCCCCCAAGCCCACAGGCTGCTTGTGTTCTAGGGCCTGAGATGAAACCTGTGGATGTTGGGAGGCCTGTTATTCGGCCCCCTGAGCAGAATGCACCCCCTCCAGGGGCCCCTGACAAGGAAAAACAGAAACAGGAGCCGAAGACGCCAGTGGCACCCAAAAAGGTAGAGACAGTAGGTCTGTGGATATCCTGAGCTCCCTGCTAATGACCTTTAGGTGCACCAGGTACCTCACTTGTCCCCTGGCCTTTCTGCCTTACAGGACCTAAAAATCAAGAACATGGGCTCCTGGGCCAGCCTGGTACAGAAGCATCCAACCACCCCATCCTCCACAGCTAAGTCATCCAGTGACAGCTTTGAGCAATTCCGCCGTGCAGCTCGTGAAAAGGAAGAGCGTGAGAAGGCCCTGAAGGCTCAGGCTGAGCATGCAGAGAAGGAAAAGGAGCGGTTGCGGCAAGAACGCATGAGGTGGGCAGGGGTCCGGGTGGGGCACTGGGGCTCCCAGGCCCACGGCTGACCCGGGCCCCCACTCTGCCCAGGAGCCGAGAAGACGAGGATGCACTAGAGCAGGCACGGCGGGCCCATGAAGAGGCACGGCGGCGCCAGGAGCAGCAGCAGCAACAGCGGCAAGAGCAGCAGCAGCAGCAACAACAGCAGCAACAAGCGGCCGCTGTGGCCGCAGCTGCTGCCCCCCAGGCCCAGAGCTCCCAGCCCCAGTCCATGCTGGACCAACAGAGAGAGTTGGCCCGGAAGCGGGAACAGGAGCGAAGGCGCCGGGAGGCGGTGAGTTGTGGGCAGTAGTGGGGAGCCATTGGGGCAAGAATCTACCTGAAGAGCTGATAAAGTGGGCCAGGGGCCTGGGGAAGGAGGGCCCTACACCTTGCACAGGGCTTAGGGGTGTCTCAACTCAGAGTTGAATAGTCCAAATACACTCAGGTTCCATGATGGGCACTGTGGAAACAGCTCAGGAGAAGGTCTGATGGCCAAGCTCAAGCAACGTAGGGGGCTCTCAGATCCACACAGAGGTGAGTATCCACCTCATTCATTCCTTCTTCTTCCTCTACAGATGGCAGCTACGATTGACATGAATTTCCAGAGTGATCTGTTGTCAATATTTGAAGAAAATCTTTTCTGAGAGCACCTAGGTGACTTCTGACTGATTTTCTGGCAAAACATTGACTCTCCATAGTGTTAGGGGTGGCAGTGGAGGCAGTAGCAGTGGCCAGAGGTGTCTCTGGGCCTGGCCCTCCTGCATGCTATGCCCGGGGCAGGCCTGACGGGCAGCTGAGGATCGCAGAGCCCATCTGCCTTACAGCCAGCTAGACGGATGTCCCGCCACCTGCCGCCGCCTCACAGGATGTCGGCTCAGAGCACGCCTCGATTCCAGCAAGTGCCGGCTGGACCCAAGGCCTGTGTCCATGCTTATGGGACAGAGGACCTTTCCTCCGCCAAATGTCTACACAGTATACACAGGACATTGTTGCTGCCGCCACCGTGACTGGTTTTCTGTCCCTGAGAACATGACGTTTGTGACATCCTGCCCAGTGGGAGTCTCCACACCCCGCCTTGCTTCCCGCTCTCAGGAGGCCAGGACAGGGCTCTGTGGGCTGGAGCAGGCGAGGGAATCGGCATATCCCCTTGCTGGCACTGACTTTGCCTTGAACAGACCCCCCGTTGTCCCCTCCTTCCCCACAAGCCTTTAATCGAGAGCCGCTCTCTATAAGTGTTCGCTTGTGCAAAAGGGAATAGTGCCGTGGAGGTGTGTGTGTGTCCATGGCAACTCGAATCGAGGTGACCGTCCCGCGTGTGTGGGCGGGCCTTGCCTGGGGTGAGGCCACCAACCAAAGTCAGTCCCTTCCCACCTGTGTTTTTTTTTTTTTTCTATATATATTTTTTTGTTGTTGTTGAATCCTATTTTATTTTTAACTCTCTCTACTCCTCCAGACACAATGGCACTGCTTATTTCCGAAAAGGTGTGATCGTCTCATTGAGCGGCGGCTCCCACCGCACTGTGGGTAGTGTGTGACCGTGGCTGTACTGTATAGTGAACATAGTTGGCATCTTTGAAGTTTGTTGGTGACTCCACCAAACTGGTGTAAAAGAAATTTTTTATTCAAAAGATCCACACAAAATCAAAACAAAAATATCCCTACCTATACTTTACTCCCATTGCAAACTTCATTAGTCTAGTTTTAATTATAAATCCAGAAAGCTACAATTTCTTTTCCTTTCCCTCAGTGCCCGTTTGTTGGCTTTTGATTTTTAATCACAAATCTTTTTTTTTTTTAAACCACCAAGAAAGGCAGGGTCTGGGGACGGGTAGGCCCCAGGTATTGATTGGGGTGCTGAAGACTGAACAGAGACTCCCCTATCCAATGCCCAGTCCCAGCTGGCTGCTTCTTCCCACACTTTTTTAAAAAAAATTTTATAATTGGAGCCCTTGGTGAGGTTATGTGTGCCATGAGAACCCGCTCTACACCGCAACGCTGGTGCCTCAGTGTTGGCCAAACTCTGGAGTCACTGACTGGTTTGACTTTCATACGGTGAATATGCATTTGGTCTGTACTGATCATGGAATAAACACATCTCTCTTTTTTAATGCTGGTGTCTCCCTGACATTTCTTTGTGAACCAAATGTTGCCTAGGCTAGGCTCTTGCTGCCCTATCCCTGAGGCCACCTGCACATGAGAACTAACGACCGTGGCCATGGAGCCTCTTGTGGCCTATCCCTGCCTTTCTTGGGCAGGACGTTCTCCAGCTCACCACTGACACCCAAGCTGAAGTTGTGACAAGAGTCCACAAACTCTTATTTCCCTCAGACCCTGGCCTAGGTGGGCAACATGTCCTAGCAGAACCCTGGCAAAACTTCAGACGACTCCACTTTGTCCTTCATCTTGGTTCCCCACGCACCAAGGAATTTGGGCCACTTTCACTTTGCTTTATCCACCTAGCTTTTCATTTAAGCTCAGGGTTGACCAGATACTAGGAAAGTGTACATTTCCCCAAATAAGATCTTCATTCACACACATGCACGTGCACACATTGTCAACCAGGTAAGCCCACAGGTAGCTGCTTTGGCTGTGTGCCCACCTGTACATACATGCCCAGCACAGGTAGTACCCACAACACTCCTGGGATGTAAGAAGGTGCATAACTTATGTATCCAGAGACAAACATTGCATTGAAATACTTCTAGCACTGTTTATTCATATTTCCTCTTTTCACCCAAAGACCCTTTGTTGTGTGTCTCGGGTCTGCCAAGCCTTTCAGTGAGCAGAGTAAGGCACCAGCCAGTGCCCTAGCACCACCACAGACTCTCAACCTCCTTGACAATCCCAAGCATGTCACACACCACCATGCCAGTTCAAATGTGACATACTGGTTCTGTAGGGTTTCTTCCATCTCATCCCACACCCATTTTTTCTTCCTCATTCTGTTCAGAAACTTATCTGGGTTGGGTCCAAGTGTTGAGCTGGAGAGATGATTTCACCTGCACCTTCCTGCTAGACTCAGTCTGTCATGGCCTTCACACCTCCCTGAAGGGTGTTTCTCTAACTGGGTTGTAATTAGACTGGGGATCTATTTAATTTTTTGGCCATTTATCCAGTCTCTCCTACAGTACTAGAAATCTTAGTCTTATACAAGAGTAAGAGGTGTGTACAAGCCCCCACTGTACTGTATGCACGGATCTCTTGGCCAATAATTATGTCAGTGAATCTGAGACTTGTATTAAAACACTTTAGACATTTGTAGAAGGGAATTCATAGACTTCACTTATATACTAAAGGTTCTTTTTTTGTGCAGTTCTCATTGCAAAAATAAACATTTGTACTGAACATAAAGTTACTCTTCTTTGAGTACTGCTGTCTTTTTGAGGGTAGAATTGGGAAGATATGGTGGGGTGAGAGCTGCAGTGTGTTCTGGAGTTGGAAGACACGCACAAACTATGCTGCCAAAAGACGAGTCGGGAATGACCCTGGCCAATTGTCAGACAAATGAATGGGCAGTGTAAAGGAAACCAAAGATAGGAGCAGCTAACAGAAAGGTAAGCAGTTAAATCGAGGTAGAGTAAAAGGTAGTTCAATATAGGCAATGTCATCCAATTCTGAGGTCCATTGTTTACTGAGGCAGAACAATGAATGGGCATTCACTTTTAGCAACCTATGGCTTGGTTTGGTTTTGAGACATGGTCTCACAGTATAATTAAGACTGGCCTAAAAAAAAAAAAAAAAAAAAGACTGGCCTGAACTCACTTTATAACCCAGGCTGGCCTCAAACTCCAAGGCAACCTCTTGCTCCAGCCTCCAGGGTGCTGGGATTACAGGCATGTGCTACCACACGGGGTCCTGTGGGCTTAATATGGAGTTAGGACAGTATGCTTAGTTTCCAAATAACATGTATATGGGCAACTGGAAGAAGGGCCAATAGGTGGTATGAAAAGGGTGTATCATGGTTAGAGGAAACGAATAGCAAAACCAAAATGGAAATGGCATATTTGTGGTGATAATTTCAGAACTCAGTGGACAAAGTTCCAAATTAGTCAAGAAATAGATATAGAATACACCTGAAATACTTGGGTTATCAACCAGAAACAATTAGGGGGATGGGGGTGGTACCAGATGCTGTTTCTATCAGTCCTGGATTGCTGTTTAGCCAGTTGTATGGCTCCACACATGACTTCATCCCCAAATTTTAGGTTCTTGTAATGAAGGTGTGGCCGATACTTCCTACCTTGCATATCCCTAAGAGGGACACGGATCCCGGAAGAAGGTTGCAGAACAGAAAAAATTAGCTTCTTGCGTGAATGGGGTTGTAGGCCAGTGCCCCATTATACTCTTATTTTGCCCTGCCCTGCCCAGACTTGACTCCTTTTTGTCAGACGCAATTACTCAATTGACCCAGCCTTCTTCCAGCAAGCATCGAAGCCAGACGTACCCTCTAGGAATCCGGGTCTCTGCCTCAGCCACCATCAGCAAGCCGGGCCACACTGGCCAGTTGGCATCGGGGCCAGGACTGGTCGCTTGGACATCTATGGCTGCCGCTGTCCAATCACAGCCATGGGGGTCACTGGGAGGACGGCGTGGGACCGTGGCCTTTGGACCAGCCGTTGGGATCAGAGCTGGATAAATGTGCTGCTGGGTCTCTTGCAGCCAGGTCAGGGTGGGTCTTGTACTCCAGGGCAGGAAGCAGGCGATGCGAGGGGTGAACTGGGGCACCCGAACCGCCCTCGGGCCACTGGGACTGATTATACCTCCTTGTCCTTCCCAGCCGCAGCGTCCCGGATCTCTTCCGCTTTTGGGCCAATCCGACCCGCTGCGTGCATCAGCTCCGTCCCCACCTCCACTGCCCCAATCCCAGACAAATGTTCAATTCATTGGGCCAGCCTCAATGCTTAGCCGCCCAATGGCAGGCCCCAGCTCTCCGCTCCAGCCCTCCCCTCCCAGCTGTACAAGTCACGCCTCTACCCTTATACTGCTGGAGAGCCAAGTGGGTCTCACCTTCCCCTCCCTTAGGTCTCACTCCCAAGGTGTCCGCCTCGCCCCTTCGCTCAACTCTCTTCTCATTTCACACGGTGTCCCTCCTCTCGGTTTGGCCGAGTTCTCCACCTCCTTCTTTTTTAAAAAACTTATTTATTTACGTGTGTGTGTGTGTGGCCAGCTCAGCCCACCAGGGGGCGGGGCTGGCTGGCATGTGGTGCTGGGGGATTGAACCGCGGTCCCTGTGCTTTGCTAAGCTTGTTCTAAGTAGGTGCTTTAGACCACTGAGCCACCTCACCAGCCCTCCACCTCCTTCTTCAGAGGTCCCTCCCCACCTGCTGCAGGAGTCCTCCCAGGCACCCGCCTGGTTTTAAGCTCCGCCCACTAAGGCCTTTGCCAGCCTAGTCCACTGGCTCCTTTGGTCCCCAGAGTTCCTCCCCAACCACAGAAGCTGGGCCCTCCCGGGCTCCGCCCCTCACTCTTCAGGTAGCGTCGTGCCCAGGTATTTACCTGGCACTGTGGGTCATGGAGCAGCAGCAGTATCTGTCTGGGCCGTCCTTCTCCGCTCCTGCAGCACGTCCCGTCAGCGCTCACTTCACGAAGGGGTCCCAAGCCAAAGGCAGTGGGTTCCCAGGGCCTGATCCCTCTTCGCCTCTGCTGCCAGCGTACCCAGCTCAGTCTTCGGCCGACAGCGCTGTCACAGTCCCGGAGCGCGGCGACATGCCGGAGCTGGTGGTGACTGCGCTGCTGGCGCCGTCGCGTGTCTCGCTGAGGCTGCTGCGCTTCTTTATGTGGATCTTGGTGTACTCGGCGGCACTACTGGCTGCCGCTGTCTACGGTTGCATTGCGCTCACGCACGTGCTATGCAGACCCCGGCGTGGCTGCTTGGGGCGTCCCCGGTACGCGGCTCCTGCCTGCCTGGTAGACCCCACACTGGGTGAGCACGGCTTCCTGAACCTCAAGGTGAGCTGCGGGGAGTTTCCAGAGGTCGGGGCTGGGTGAGCGAAGCCGGGATGGTTAAATCCAAACCCAGGTGGGCACAGAGGCCTGAGAGCTGGAGCCCAGGACCGAAGAGTTCCCAGGCCTTAAATGATGCACTCCTTTAGAGCTCAGGCCTGCACCTGCACTTGGTCTCTGCTGGTCGTGGCAATGGGCCCCTCATGCTGTTTCTCCACGGCTTCCCTCAGAACTGGTATGTCTGGGCCTGGAGTATAAGGGGTGGGGGAGGTGGAGCCGGATTATGAGGGCACCCAGTAGATCAGAAGAGGGCTGAGTAGACTTTGGGGTGCAGAGAATCTAGCATCCAGATGGTTCAGAAGTGGGCAGGGACTACTCCAAGATGCCAAAGATTTATATGTAGGCCCTGAGAGGGATGGCCCTAAATCACTACTGGGATTGAACCTGTCCTGGATCTGGGGTGCAGCTGGCCTCTTCGTCTGTCTGGGATTCTCCCATCCTCCCTTCCAGAAAGACCAGAGCTGGAAGGTGGTGTCACCAAAGATCCCTGCTAAGCATAGGGTGGAGATACAGCCTAGGCACCCTGAGTCAACCTCCCTCTACATCCCTTCCCACCTCCCACCTGGCAGGTTTTCCTGGCGCTACCAGCTTCGAGAGTTCCAGAGCCACTTCCATGTTGTGGCTGTGAACCTGCGTGGCTATATCCCTTCAGCAGCTCCAAAGGATGTGGACTGCTACACAACTGATCTGCTGATGGCTGACATCCAGGATATCATCCTGGGCCTGGGTGGGGACAAGCCCCCATCCAGGGGGTACACATGCATCTCCTTATGCCTATGCCTCACTGGGAACCACCTCCCTGATCTTGCCTCTCCCATGTCTTACACCAGCATATCCATCCACTAGGTTACTCCAAGTGTATCCTTGTGGCCCATGATTGGGGCGCTGTGCTCGCCTGGAATTTCTCCATCTATTTTCCATCTCTTGTTGAGCGGATGGTAGTGGTCAGTGCTCCCCCCACGTCGGTATTCCAAGGTGTGTTCTTACCTCTCTGTTCTCCTGTTCATATACCAGGGCATCCCTTCCCTATGACGCTCCTCAATCTAAAATCAATGACTCAATGACAGGGCTGGGGAGATAGCTCAATAGAGGTCCTGAGTTCAATCCTCAGTACCACAAAAAAAAAAAAAAAAAATCAAAAATCAATGACAGAGCTATGAGTGGTGACATTCACTTGTAATCTCAGCTATTAGGGATGACTGAGGTAGGATCAAGAGTTTCAGGCCAGCCTAGGCAACTTGGCAAGATCTTGTCTCAAAATTTAAGTGTTAAAATTGCTAAGGATGTAGGTCAATGCTCCCTGGGTTCAATCCCCAATACTGCAATAAGTAAATAAAGACAATGAGAGTGCACTAAGAAGTAACCCACACGCTGGGACAAGCTGAGTATCCTTTATCCAAAATGCTTGGGACCAAGATGGTGAGTGTGGCTCAGTGATAGGACACTTGTGGAATATCCTCAAGACCTGGGACTAGATCCCCAGCTCATGTGCTGTGGGCATACACAGAAGGCACACACTCCCACACCTGTTTAGGACTAGAAGTGTTTCAGATTTCAGATTTGGAATATTTGCACACACATAATGAGATATCTTGCTGATGGGGCATGAAACCAACATGAAATAATTAACCTGAAAGTATATATATATATATATATATATATATTAATTTTTTTTTCGGTATGGGTGATCAAACTCAGGACCTTGCACTTGCCAGGCAGGAGCTTATGCCACTGAACTATCTCCCAGCCCCTATAGGGTATTTTTGATAATTCTGTGTGTAGAAAATGTTTATACTTAGGCCAGACAAATAGCTCAGTGGATTAAAGCACCTGCTTAGGCAGATACAGCGGCCAGGGTTCCATCCCAGGCTTGCCATCCTGGTCCTGCTCCCAGAGTGTGCTGAGATAGCAATTGAGACTGAGCGTGGTGGCATGTACCTGTAATCCCAGCTCATGGGAGGCTGAACACAGGTGGATCACTACAAGTCCAATCTATGTAATGAGACCCTATAGACCCTGTAGACCCTTACTAAAATTAAAAAAAAAAAAAAGTTTGTACTTATACACTGAGCCATCCGAGGTCAGGTAAGGAATTTTCCACTTGTAGAATCATGTCAATACTCAAACATTTTAGAGTTTTAAATCTGGGCATGGTGGTGCATCCCTGTAATCCTGTACTTGAGAGACTGAGGCAGGAGGATAGTCATGAGTTCAAGGGCAGTCTGGGCTACATAATGTGTTCAAGGCCAGGCTGAGCTACATAGTGAAACCCTGTCTCAAATAAAAGTTGAAAAAGGCCAGGTACAGTGGTGCACGCCTGCAATCCCAGCACTTGGGAGGCTGAAGCAGGAGAATCATTGTCAATTTGAAACCAGTCTGGGCTACAAAGTGAGCTCAAGGCCAACCTGAATTGCATAGTGAGAACCTGTCTCAAATGACAAACAAAACAAAACAAAAATTCAGATTACATAGTGTTTCAGATTTAAGATTTTTAGATGGAGGGTGCCCAACCTGTAACCAATATAGTAACCCACAAAGGGGTTTTGGGATTAGGAGTGCCCAACCTGTAACTGAATATAGTAACCCACAAAGGGGTTTTGGGATTAGGAGTTTTCTGTGTGTTTGTGTGTGTGTGTCTTGTTTTGGTTTTGGTATTAGGGATAAGACCCAGGTCCTCCTGCAAGCTAAGCACATATCTCCAACCTGTTTCACTTGATTTCATTTTGATTGATTGGTTTTGCTGTGCTTGGGATGGAACCCTGGGATCTGCACCTGCTAAGCAAGTGTTCTACCACTGAACCGCAGCTCACCTGATTTTAAATCCCAGCACTGACTGTAGTCAGAACTGTGTTCATTCTCTCCCTCTCTCCCTCCCTCTCCCTCCCTTCTTTCTGTTGTTTCCTGTCTATCTCCTCTAGACTGCCAGCTCTCTGATGGCAGAGAGTTTTTCTGTTTTGTTTGCTACTGTGTCTCCTGGGTCTAGCAGGACCTGAAACACAGTAGGTGCTCAGTAAGTGTTGTTGAATGAAGCAAGGAAGTACCTGGACAGGGACAGTACCCCAGAGCTGCAGAGGGATGTGGCCCCATTGGCAGGGAAGGGTACTGGGGCCTGAGCTAGGAGGGGCCGTCGGTGTCTTCACTGACAGCCATGTTTTCATTGTTTCCTGAGGCCTGTGTGCTTGACTGGGTCTGTGTGGGGATGTGGGGTCAACCCTCCCCACCTAGGCCACACATCTGCCTCCCCTCCACTTCCTCCCAGACTACTGTATTCGTCACATCGGCCAATTCTTCAAAGTGAACTACATGTTCCTGTTCCAGCTTCCCAGGCTGCCAGAGAGGTTGCTCTCCATGTCTGACTTTCAGGTGCCAGGGAGTGAAGGTGTGGAGTGGGGGGGAGTGGGTTGGACTTGGCAATCAGGACCCCACAGCAAGATTTCTGCTGCATACCCAGATCCTGAAGAGCTCCCTCACTGGTCGCAAGACGGGCATCCCACACCTGGCCCCATGTGAACTCGAGGCCTTTCTTCATGGCTTCTCTCAGCCTGGTGGCCTCACTGGGCCCATCAACTACTACCGAAACATCTTCAGGTGAGATCAGACCCAGGGTAGAAGCTCAGGAAAGTTCCAGAGGCTGGGATTACGGGTGGTCATCGTTCACCCATCTGTCTGATTGTTTGCTTCCATCACAGGAACATCCCCCTGGAGCCCCAGGAGCTGGCTGTGCCTACATTGCTGCTGTGGGGAGAGAAAGACCCCTACTTCCAGGTGGGGTTGGTGAGGGCCATTGAGAGCCGCTTTGTGCCGGGCCGGCTGGAGACTCACATCCTGCCAGATGCAGGACACTACATCCCCCAGAGCCACCCCCGAGAGATGCACCAGTACATGTGGGCCTTTTTGAAAGACCTGCTGGACTAGCGGCCCTTGCTCACCTGCCTACCCCCTGTATGTAGGTACACAGACACTCAGGAGAACACATCTGCCATCTGAACACGCGTGGGGTGGACACCTGGCTCACACAGAAGTGAGTGAGGCACCACAGCCCCTGTGCTCACACCCATGCATGGCTGCGTGTGTGCGTGCACTCGGACCAAAGAACTGGCTGTGCTGCTCCTTCGTGGAGCCACATGCTTAGGCTGAGCGTCTTACCTGTCCCTGCCGCAGTTGGCCTCCTGAGGCTGCGCGAACCATAAACTCTGATCTTCTTGTCTCTGGCTTCTCTGTCTTGAGGCCAGGTCTTAGGTCTTCATTACTAAATCCAATACAGCAGTGTTCGCCACATGTGAGTACTTCCACTTACATGTGAATTCCTCCAAATGAAATCCAATGAAAAAAATGCAATGCTCAGTCACTCTGACTGTATGTCAAGTGCTTATCGGACACATCAGTGAAGAAAGTTCCATTAATCTGGGTGTGATGGCTCCCATCTGTCTTTCCAGCACTCAGGAGGCTGGGACAGGAGAGGCAGTGTGAGTTCAAGGCCAAGGTGGACTATATTATTTAAAGGCTTGCCTGGGGGCTGGGGAGATGGCTCAGTGGAATAAGCACTTCCCTGGAAAGCGCAAGGGCCTGAGTTCAATCTCCAGTTCCACAAAAAAATAAAATAAAATAAAAATAAAAATCAGCCCAAGTTTCTGGAAATCCAAATAAAGTTTTCCAGGTGGAAGGTGGACCACACAGTCAGTCCCAGGCTGGTCATGGCATTGACTTCTCTCCCCCTGACCCTTGCGCAGTCTTTTGGGACGGTGTCAGCACCTGCAAGCTGAAAACTCAGAAGACCTAAAAACTACATCCTGGGGCCGGGGAGATGGCTCAATAGAATAAGTGCTTGCCTGGCAAGCACAAGGGCCTGAGTCCAATCTCTGGTTCCGAGAAAACAACAACAACAACAAAAACCCCCTACATCCTGTTAATGGGTGTGGTGGTGCATGCCTATAAACTCAGCACGGGAGACTGTGGCAGGAGGATCCCAAGTTCCAGTCCAGACAGGGGGCTTGCTAACAAAATCCTTTCTCTAAGCAAATAAATGAAGATTGAGTCAATAGTACCCCCCTCCCTAGAAAGTTTATTTGGGGTTGGGTCTGCCCCGCAATCTGTATTGCCCTCCCCTGTTCCCCTGCTTTCTCTTACCATGGGTACCACGGTTCCCAGGACTGGCGCCCCAGTGGCACTTTTGGAGCTCTGGGGTTCCCAGAGGAGAGGGGGAGAGAGAGGGCTATTCAAGTGACAGAGTTCAGAGGATCCCCAGTGGGGCCCTGATGGTGGCAGTGGTGGGGTGCTCTTGTCCAAGGTGGGAAGGAACTCAGGCTACTGGAATAACAGCGTGGAGGCCAGTGGCTGCTAACACTGCCAGGGACTGCCAGGAGTTGGGATTTGACTCTCAAAGAGCCACAGGAGGTTTTCAGCAGGAGAGGGACATGGCCTGCATTTTGAAGAGCTCCCTGTGGCTGCTGCACAGTCCCATGCAAAAGTGTAAGAGGGGAGACAAGCAAGGGGCCCTCTCAGCACAGCGCAGTCCCTCAGCGTCGCCAGAGCAGGAACCCCCAGGACTTGACCTAACTACCCACCCCCAACCCTCCACCCCGCAGGGTGGGAGCAAAGTCGCCGCGCTCTGGGTCACGAGGCGGGGGATGTGGGCCCTCGGGCCTGGAGCCCTGGGTGGAGGTCTGGAGAGAGGAAGCCTGTGGGCTGGATGAGGACGGCGTCCAGGAGGTGGAGGATCTAGCGATGGTTGCTAAGGTGACGGGGGACGAGTTGGTGGTTGACAGGAACGGGTAGCAGTTGTCTGGGTGACTGGAGGGGCCCATGCAAAGGCTGTCGGGAAGTCTCGGACAGTTGCCTGGACTACTGGGGTCCGCGGACGGTTGTCAGGGTAACCACAAGGCGCTGTCTTCCGCCTTTCAGGTTGCGGGTGGGAGGAAGGCGGGGTCTTGGAGGAAACGATCGCGTTGGTTGGACAGAGTTCTGGGGAGTAGGCCAATAGAAACTCACATCATGACCCAGGCTCGCTTCTTCCAGCCTGAGCCAATCAGAGAGCGTCTTTCTTCTGGCATCAAGGCTAGGCTTGCGCATCTCTTTGGGCGGGAGTGGGTCACTCCAGAGCTATGGCTAGGACTCCTCCCTGGCTCGGACTTGCCCCTTTCTTTTAAGCCCCAGTCTCCAGACCCTATTATCACTCGTCATTCACTCATTTATTCATTCACTCACTCACTCATTCATAGACATCCATTGATTATTCACACACTCACCTATTCATTCAGACTTGCATCATTCGCCCATTCATTGATTCATGCATTCATCCACTCATACACTCATCCGTTCGCGCTACCTGCTGTACACCGCTAACCCTCCGCACTAAAGGAGAGCAGCGGACACCAGCCAGAAAGAGACACTGCCAGCTGGGTGTGGTCAGGCTACAGTGAACTAGATCCTAAGGGATCAGTGCTCCTGCAGGGCTCATTCTTCACCCTGGATCTCAGGTGGTTCTGAAAACACGGACTCTGCCTGTGCTCCTGTCTGCTTCCCCCGCTTCACGGCTGGGTGGCCACTGGACTGCTGTGCATCTTACAAGAGGGATAGGAGGCTGTCGGGGAGGTGGTCTTGGAGTTAAACTAAAAAAAAAGAGGGGGCTACAACCTGAGGAAGCCTCCCACACAAGTGATCTGTCATTTCCATGAGAAAAGAAAAATGTGGGACAGGAAGATGGCCAGCAAATGCCAGTCAGGGAGGGCCTGGGACAAAGCTGTGTCTGGGATGCTGTGTGGGGGTCAGTGAAGGAGCCAGACCAGGGGGGGGGGAAACAGGCTATGGAGAGGAGGAACAGTAGGTGTGATCCAGACGGTAGAAAATGAGGATCCAGTCCAGGCACCGAGGCAGGAGCAGGGGCACAGGGAAGGCACAGAGGGAAGACTGGGGCATGTTCACCGAGAAATCTGGACCCTTGGGAGAGGAGATCTAGAAACATCTGGAGTGAAGACAGAAATGGCCCAGCATGCATCTGTGTGTGGCAGGGAATGAGACACAGAAGCTGGGAGACAGTGTGGAGTCTGTCCTTGACCAAGTGGAAAGTAAGACTCACTGGAGATAGAGCACTGAGGCCCCCAACATGGAAAGGCAGGCGGAAGAGAGAAACCCCAGAAGTAGGATACACACCCGGCCAGTGGCCTCCCAGCTGTGAAGGGCGGAAGTTTCCAGGAGCACAGGCAGAGTCCGCAGTTTCAGAACAGCTTGAGATCCAGGGTGAGGGCTGAGCCATGCAGGAGCATTGATCCCTGAGGATCTAGGAGAGCTAAATTCTCCCACATCGTGAAAGGAGAAGCTAGGAGGGGTAGCCTAGCACCTGAGGTATTGGGTGCTCAGAGTAGGTTAAGCATGGGTGAAGAGGGCATAATGGGAACCCCAGCTGGGGCAACAACTGACACATTCAAGTGGGAATTTGAGGCAGGATTGCTATAGGGGCTGTCCCCATCCAGTTGCAGGCATGGGGACAGAGTTGGGGATAACCAACCTAGACTCTTGAGACACCAGGAAGCATGCATGCATTGCCATGTCTGGCCACCCCTAGGAAGCAAGAGGAAGGAAGAGAATCTGCAGAGCTGGGAGGAGGGATGGTAGAGACAGGATCTTCAGTCAAGGGACACAGGCAGCCAGAGTGAGCTTGTAGGAGGGGACCGAAGAGGATTAATATCTCTATCTCACTTTACTCCAGCTTCATCTTCTCCTACTGGTCAAATTCACCTGGAATCCAGAGGATGGGAACATGTCTGAGGGCCACAGAGTGGAGCAGAGAAGGGAAGAATGGAGTGGGAATGGGGTATGCAGAGTGGGGAGAGGTGACATATGGGGCTCTGGCTCCTGATTCGTTCATTTGACAGCGGTTAAGGCTGAGAAGTATTTGGGTGGCACAACCACTGTCTATCATGAGTGAAGACTGGGATTTTATCCTGAGCACAGAAAAAAAAAAAAAAATTACTTCACCGCCTCTCACCTGGTTCTGTGCTAGACACTGGGACTCAGCACTGAGCACAACATATGTCCACAGAGCTTTCAGTCTAGAGTAGGGCCAGGTAGGGTTGGGTGAAGGAGCTGAATACCAGCTAAAGGAGGCAAAGTTTCAGGATGGCTCCCTGGGAGATGAGAAAGCAGATCTTTCAGAGCAAGAGAACAGTGCCCCTCAGCTGTGTGCAGTTCCAACTCTTTCCTCGTTTCCTTTCTTTCTCTCAACACACTGAGGGTTGAAGTGAGGGCTTATCACTGAGCTACATCCACAGCCCTCTTTTACATTCTATTTTTTATTGGGAGACAAGGTTTTGCCAAGTTGCCCAGATGGGATTTGAATTTACAACCTTTGTGCCGCAGCCCCCCTGTGGTGGGATTATGCACACGCTAGGCAAGTGCTCTACCACTGACCTGTCTCCCAGCCTTTTCCTCTTCCTTTAGGTCTTGGCTCTAAGGTTCCCTCTCAAACTCCCAGGCTGAAATCTCTCCTTCTCCCCCAGTCAAACTTCATCTATCTGTGTAGCTCTTCCATCTTTGCCTTGTTTTTTGGGTCACCTCTCTTTACAACCAGGCCTGCTAGCAAGTACGTAGTCAATAAATGTTGGTTGAATGACTTAATGAAGGTGAGGCAAGCTGGAGAATCAATCTAAGCTGCCAAGTTTTTTTTTTTTTTTTTTAAGCTTTTATTGTATAAGAATGGGGCTCCTAGGGCCTGTTGGATAGCTCAGCCGACTAAAGCGCCTGCTTAGGCAGAGCACAGTGACTGGGGTTCCATCCCCAACGGTGCAGTGCTGGCCGCCTCCAGGGTGCGCTGAGACTGCTATTGAGACTGGGCAAGGTGGCGCACACCTGTAATTCCAGCACTTGGGAGGCTGAAAACAGGAGGATTACTGCGAGTTTGATCTGCATAGTGAGACCCCGTAGACCCTGTACTAAATACATTAGAAAAAGAAAAGAAAGAACTGCCAACTTGGAGAAGAAGGGAAGCGAAGCGAAACTGTGGAGGTGAAGAGAGGTTGTGCCACTCCGCGGAAGGTTCTCATATCAGCGGGTCATACAGAAGGAAGCAGTATCTAGTGGATCTAACTTGGTCCCCTGGCCCGGGGTCCAGCCACTGCATGTGTGCACGGGCAGCCTTCACTCTGCTGGATCCACTAGGCTCCCACACCCCGCTGCCTGGGCGTGCAGACCTGGCCTGGCTTCTGCGTAGAGGGCGGGCCTGCGGTCCCAGAGGAGAGGCTGAGGGCACGTTCTCAGGTTCCCGGTCAGCGTGCCGGCAGCTGCGTCTTGGCCCGGCCCCAGGTCTAGCGTCCCCGGGGACTGAGCTCATTCAGGAGA